TACTTTTTACTTTTTATCTCTTCAGGTGAAAGGCCTTGTGAAACAGCATATAGACTCATTTAACTATTTCATTAATGTAGAGGTAAGCATCAGATTGTAGAAATAGATATAAGCTAAGAATTAGTTGGAAGCCAGAGTCTAGCCTAATGTTGCACTTTCCACTGCAGATAAAGAAGATAATGAAAGCCAATGAAAAGGTTACGAGTGATGCTGACCCCATGTGGTACTTAAAGTAAGGAACCAACTACTCTTAATTAGCTATTTTGATTATGTCTGACATTTTTAAAGTGAATGTAGTTGTTATCAAAACTCTTTTAAAATCATTCTCTTGTATCTGTTTAAGATAATTATAAAGTGCTCAAATTTAATTTTTAATTGGTAAACTAATTATAAGAAGTAGAGTTATGATTGAGAAGTTAATGAAACTATTAGGTTTTAAATATTTTAAACAAGTTTTTATTTTAAATAATTTTAGACTTAGAGAAAAATTGCAAAAATAGTACAAAGAGTTCCCGTATATTCTTCACCCAGCTTCCACTAATGTTAGCATTTTATGTAACTATAGCAGCGCAATTACCAAAACCAAGAACTGAGCATTGATAAAATGCTGTCAATTAATCTGTAGACCTTATTTGATGTTTTCCCACTAGTGTCTTTTTTCTGGTCCAAGAATCAATCCAGGACCCCACATTATGTTTACTTGTTTCATCTCTTTAGTCTTCTCAGTCTGTGACAGTTCCTTAGTCTTTCTTGGTCTTTCATGACTTTGACACTTTTGAATAATCTGGTCAGGTTTTGTATAAGGTCCTTTGCTTTGAGTTTATGTGATATTTGCTCATGATTACATTGGACTATGTATTTTTGTGAGAATACTGCAGAAGTGATATTTTGTGCTCACTGATTCATATTGGGGGTACAGATGCCAATATATTTTATTAGTGATGATTTTAACTTTGTTCACTTGGTTAAGGTGGTATCTTCAAGGTTTCTGCACTATAAAGTTACTATTAATATTTTTCCTTTTGTAATTAATAAGTATCTTACGGAGAGATCCTTGACTATGCAAATATCTTATTTCTCATCATCCGCATACATTGATGGTTCTCACCTATAACAGTTACTATTGTGGGGTTTACTTAATAGTGAATTTCTATTTCCATCATTACTTCTGCGTTAATATTGGAATTCTACTACAAGGAAGAACTTTCCTTTCCCCCCATTTATCTCTCTATAGCTCTCTATATATTAATTTATATCAGTTTGGACTTACGGATTTTATTTTAGCCTATGGGTTATAATCCAGTGCTATGATTATTCTGTTGCTCAGACGGTCCTAGTTTTGGCCATAGGGAACTTTTCAAATTGACTCTTGTGTCCTTTCAACATGCCACCGTTATTTTTTTGAGCACTCCTTTACTTTCTGGCACCATAAGATATTATTCATCTATTATGGGGATATTATCAGCTATTTCTCCAAGGAGCCCTAGTCCCTTTTATTGGAAAATAGTATTTATAAACCAAGATATGGACACTAAGGTCTCAGTGGACAGACCTCGGAAATATATGTGTGTATACTAACACATACATACACATCTATATTTCTATATCCTATCCATTTATACTTAAGAACCATGCAGACTGATACCTCCGATTCCAGTCCAGCACTGTAGGACCATTCTAATCTTTTCCCTTCCTTTATTTGTAACTTGTATCTCTGACAGTGAGAAATCTGGCTCTCATGATCTCCAATATATTTTCTTATTTTTTCAATACTAGACTATACATAACATTTCAGAATTGTTATCTCATACTTCTGTGAGAATAAAATTTGAGTACAATATTTGTGCCATGTCCTTTTTGTCTTTAGCCCTACAGTATCCAGTCAAAATACTGTTTTCCACAGTTATTTATGTTAGTTCTTATCTTTATTTTTTGGGTATGTGAAACATTATTATGATTGTAAGAGTTAGACCTATAGGGCC